TGAAATTGGTAAGACACATTGTTTTCTTCTGATTTTGGGTTCCCTTATCAAATACAGATTCATAAATACTAGCTAGTCATATAGTTTTCTCCATTATGGAACAATAGTCTTCTATAAGCACCCATTGATCCAATGCAATTGGGTTGTTTGACTGTCTTGGTTATTTTCTCTGTTTCCAGATTTATTTGTTAGTATTGTTAGCCTCGGAATTGGAATTAACTATGGCCAGATTGCCAACAATCTCCCATCTCCTTCCCGGGTTGCCATCCTCCTTACATCTGTCAACATCAGTAGAGTGAAACTCTACGACGCTGATCCAAACGTATTAAGCGCATTCTCCAATTCGAATGTTGATTTTGTTATTGGACTTGGGAATGAGTATCTTCAGACAATGACCGATCCTGTTCAAGCTCAAACTTGGATTCAACAGAATGTCCAGCCTTACCTTCCACAGACAAAGATTAGTTGTATAACCGTTGGAAATGAGGTCTTATCTGGAAATGATACTCAGTTAATGTCCTATCTCCTCCCGGCAATGCAAACCATATATGGCGTTCTTGTAAATCTTGGCCTAAGCAAACAAGTATATGTGACAACTGCACATTCACTTGAAATTTTAGGTAATTCCTTCCCACCTTCCGCAGGGGCTTTCCAACAAGATCTTGCTGAGTACATCCAACCCATTCTCAATTTTCATTCGCAGACCAACTCGCCGTTCCTCATAAATGCATATCCATATTTTGCATACAAAGATGACCCAGATCAGGTTTCACTGGAGTACGTGCTTTTCCAGCCTAACCCAGGGGTGACTGATCCAATTACGAATTTGAACTATGATAATATGTTATATGCACAAATTGATGCTGTTTATTCATCAATCAAAGCGATGGGTTATACAGACGTGCAAGTTAAAATTTCTGAGACGGGTTGGCCATCTAAGGGGGATCCCAATGAGGTAGGAGCTACACCAGAGAATGCAGAAATATACAATGGTAATTTGCTGCAGCGGATAGAACAGCAGCAAGGTACTCCAGCAAAACCATCAGTACCAATCGATATATATGTTTTTGCACTTTTTAATGAAGATCTTAAGCCTGGTCCGACATCAGAGAGGAACTATGGGCTATACTATCCAAATGGTACTCCAGTTTATAACATTGGTTTACAGGGTTATCTTCCCCAGATGGATTACTCAGCTTCACAGAAGAATGTAAGTATCTTGATTTTTTAGTAAGCTCTTCATAGTATCATCCTTCTTCACACAGTTGCTTCATTCGAGTAAATGCAAGATGCATTTTATAGATCCAAATATGAATTACCAGCGTCTTTCGTTTGCACTGGCTGAATTAATACCAAGATATAATTTCATGAAGCTATGAATCTAATGCTATTATTGTCTCATATTTTGCAGGCCTTGTCTATTTGCACTCTTCTCCTTTTTTCCCTAGTATCCTTAATCTATGTTTAGAAGGTGGAGAATTAATTAATTTGAGGCAGACGGGAAGATGGAGAAAAGAGGAGCCCCTGAAGTCCCTCGATTCCTCAAAGATATCGTCCTTACAGTTTGAGGGGTAGATTGTAGAGGTAAAAAGTTCAACTCCCATTACTCAATTCATCTTGAGTTTTTTTTAGTAAGAGTAGTATAGCCGACCCCAAATGATTGGGATTTTAGACTTGGTTTGATTTGGTTAGTAGTATAGTCTTCCCCCACGCACATAATTCCCCTGCATTTCCTATTAATTTAAGTTGATTATGAACTCAAATTCCTGGTGATTAGACATGTAGTTATCTGGTGAGAACTAATCATTCATTGGGGTCTTCTCAAATTAGTCATCATGTGATCTCCAGTTCTCTGAGCTCATTTTCTGAGATTTCAGAAATATTAGGGAATGAAGAGTCTAGGAACTGTTTGGTGAGAAATTTACAACCATTTATGGAATACGTTTCAACTCCATAATATTATTTCCCATATGAGGTAACATTATTTCTTGGAAGTCTATCATGGGAAAGACATTCAATATTAGAATGAGCTTGCAAATACCGTATTTTGTGTGTTGAACATCATCGTTTCAAACTCCAAACATGTAACATCAATATTTTGTTTGAGCCAGAGAGTTGGCTTGTGGCTTTCTACGTTGTGGAGCCCTTTTTGACTATAGGGAATTTTTGCATCAGCATGGCCTAAAGAGGATAAGCTTGCCAGATAGACGAATTTACATGACAAATGCATATAGTGACTGGCTATATATTTGATCCCCAGTTCGTAGGACGGCCAACAGTTCATGATCAACCGACCCTATTGTTAAAAGTGATCTGTGGTGGTCCAGACAACATTGGACCTCGACACCATTCGTTGGAACTGCAAAGCTCATATAAAGTGGTGTGGATTGAGGAAACATATGGTAGAGAAATCTAAACTAAGTTAGCTTGATTACACGCCAACTCAGAGTTCAGTCCAACTTTCATTCATCAAAGATATATTCTATGAATACTACTAATTATATGGTGGTTGATAGGCGATGGCTTAGCACTGTCCATAGAAAGTTTAAGATAATCTTTCTTTCCCTCGTGGTTGTTAGTCTATTGTTTGGTCCATACACATGGTATGTGTTTAATTACGATTGGATCTTTAAATAGGGTGGGTATCGATAGTGATCTTTGATTATTCGTGGAACTAATCCTGTGCCGCCTTTGTTTGTAGGGAGCCAATCATGGTGGAACTTTCATTTTCATCCTGGACGTCACACAGCAAAAAATTTAACACCGATGCTGGATCAGCGAATTTGTCTTTGGAATTGATCAGAACCNGCATGTGTTTAATTACGATTGGATCTTTAAATAGGGTGGGTATCGATAGTGATCTTTGATTATTCGTGGAATTAATCCTGTGCCGCCTTTGTTTGTAGGGAGCCAACCATGGTGGAACTTTCATTTTCATCCTGGACGTCACAGCTAAAAATTTAACACCGATGCTGGATCAGCGAATTTGTCTTTGGAATTGATCAGAACCAATGTACACATATCAAAATAATTCATTACAGATCAAAGAGACTAAATATTGAAAAGGTAATTCGTGTTGAAATTGATACTAGATTACAGCAATAAAGTGAACCAACTGCAGCAGGAACTGTAATAAGGTTAATACGATTCTTTAACAAATAGACGATAGTTTGTAACTTGGTGAAGTTTGAGGGGGGCTTATATGATTTTGTTGAGGGTACAACCTTGTACAATTCAAAGACCAATCAGGGTTTTATATTTTTTTCAATTTATTACAGTTTACTCTTGTGTTCATAGCATTTAATCTTTATTACACTACTGCTTAAGCCAAAAGTTGGGAGATGCCTGATCTTGTACTGTCTCATTGGTTGGTTATATTGCTTTCTTTGTTACTGTTGGAATGAGCAAGAAATTGATATGATGAAAATTGAAATTTAAGAATGGGAATTGGCAGGCTTCTTCAGGCACTAAAGCGAATTTGATCAACAGGGTGAAATATTTCAAGTACATAACAAAGAATATTGAACAGCCAGAAGTAGACAGTGGTGGATGAGCTTAATCTTCCAACCTAATTTCAAGAAGAAATCCTGGAAGAAATAAAACTCATGAATGGTTGGAAGCAGAGAAGCTAAGAACTATGCAATTGGAGAGTTGGTCGTCGAGGATAGCTCAAATGGAAAGGCCCGGTTGGTCCAATACACGTGGTTTGCGAGTGAATGCTACATCCATAATTTAGGTTGCTGCCATTCAAAACCAATCCTATAATTGCTGCAGGCGGGTCCCTGGTTGATGGTTCCTTTGCTTAGTCTATAATGCATGTTAAATTGATTAGGTTTCTTCACCATGTGAGATGCTTGGGTCTAAATCTCAAGCATGTGCTTTTGCTGTAAGGAAGCCAGCAAGTCTCACACACACACACACGTGGCAGAAAGGAGAAAGAAAAGAGTGTACTCGAACTTTCGATTAATACCATATAACCAAAAAGTTTGCCCCTATGTTCCGAAAGAACATAATTCAACTCCATATAAAATGGCCAAAATACGGATTAGAAAAAAATAGCAAAAATATGGTTAAATAATCGACGTGATACGTTTGATATTGCGATTATCAACATGACGAGAGAAATCAATAATTTACCTAATTTTTAGCTCTACCCATTTTCACTGGCCTCAATTATCGCTAGGCATTACGAGGAATGCCACGCTGATAAAAAGTATGGAATTAATTATCATAACGGAACAAATTTAAAATTTTAATGTGTGAAAATGAAATCAACAACACCATTATGGTAATGCGATATCATTTGGTACTGGTTAACCTAGATTCAGATCTTTTCCAATACACTTTCTCTTCAAGGAACATCATCTATTGTTAATGAGTGAGAGACTCATTTGTATATAATGGGTTTCACTTGAATACATGATGGATGATGTGCTTTAAAAATAAAGTGTATTGGAGATGATCTCACTCCGGTCAACCTAGTTTGACATGTTTAATTCCTTCTATAAAAGTCTTGACACTATCTGGGGCTAATTATTAATCGTGTCATGTGTCGGGTTGATTTATATGACTTGTGAAATAGAAATTCAAGAGTAGAACTTCTATTTTCCTCAATAAAACATTGTACTTGATAGAGTTTAATGACGAAAGAGAATTCATGTAACCGATCCTAAAAATATTAGGACAAAGCTGAGCGGAGTTGAGTTAAATTAATCAATCTTAATCCACTAGTTTCGTGTTAAATTCGTGTCGTGTCGTCTTATTGTGTTAAAAATCACTTCCAGTCTGCCCCGAAAATTAATTTCTGACTTTGTTTTCCGACAACATAACAAAAGCGTCTCTTTAAGGTCCAAAATCTAAGCCCATGGGCTGGACTGTAAATAGAATAGGCCCAATTGGGCCTGGCTCACAAATTCGCAATCATGTAATCCACATGTCAATGGCGGGAAAGAGACCTAGACAAAGCACTGGTGTGTTCAGGTTTTTAGAGAGAGAGAGAGATGACGGAGAAAGAGAAACAGAAAGTCGTAGCAGAGACTGAGGAGCTGCCGAAGACAATCGTGCGCAGGCTGGTGAAGGATAAGCTTTCTCAGCTGTCCAAAGAAGGCGACGTCTCTGTTTTACGTGAGGCTCTTCAGGCCTTCTCCGAGAGCTCTCGTATCTTCATACACTACCTCTCCGCTACGTCAGCCTCTCTCTCTCTCTCTCTCTCTCTCTCTGTGCATGTTTGTGTGTGTTGAATGTGTGGTTTGATTACAGAATTTCATCGCTTTGTGAATGTATGTTTATTCCACTCTAAGGCTAAATTTTCTAGGGTTTCAAAATTTGACCGCTGGTTTTTGCTATTATACTCGCAAATGTGTGAATGACTTAATTGTTTGATTGTTTATTTGGAATGCCTTAGTGGTAATTTTGGGCATTACTTTGATTACATTTGTTTACTTGAGGTTTTTCGCTGTAAGAGTATGATTCTAAGCCTAGTCACAATCAGGAATTTTACAATGGACATCTCCCGTATGCATATAATAAATTTTGGTTGAAGTGCAATGGTAATTCATCATCCCATATTAGAAAATTATCGATGAATTTGATTGTTAGGGGTTCAAAGATGTAGAAATGACTACAATGAATCCATTGTTCTTGTTTTGTATATGTGGGTGTCTTTGTTTTGCTGAAAATAATGGCTATGTGCAGGGCAAATGACATATGCAAGGAGTCCAAGAGACAAACAATCAATGCTGAGGATGTATTTAAAGCTCTCGAAGAGATTGAGTTTTCTGAGTTTGTTGGGCCTCTAAGATCTTCTCTTGAAGGTCAGTGAATTTCCTTAAATTGGGTTTTCCTTTCTACAAATGTAGTTAGCTTTATTATCATTTCTTCACTCGTAAGCTGTATATTGAGATTAATTTTAGTTCCGAAAAAGTATGATTTCGTGGACACTGAAGCTGCCATATGAGGGGTGTTTAAGCCTGCAAAGCAAAGGAAAATGAAGCAACAATTTTTTTTTACCTTCTTCTTGTTAAAGCACTGAACTGTTGAAACCAGTTCTATATGTCTTTGTCAACATTATGGCGTGGGTGGTTTGTGGTTTTCTTAGACAAGTACTCTGTACTTAAAACCCACCAAGAAATATTTTGACGTCATTTGGTTAAATTATAACATCATTGGTACTGTTGTTCATCAAGAAATAACGGTCCCTGTCATGCAAATTCTTAGTGTTCTACCCACAAAGACTAGAATCAAGAAATGTTAACTGGTTGATGGGTATCATGGTAAAGCACCACCAAAATATGGTAGAACTAAAGACTACAAGTCATCTTTAAACCAAAGAAAAAAAGGGACTGCAGGCATGCACTTCACACAAAATAACATCCTTGTATCTATTTTTTGCCATATGTCACTGTTCCTTGTCAAAAAATGTCTTTATTTCGATATCAGGTAGCAGCTTCTATTCTGCCCTCAAGTAGCAACACAATTAAACAAAGTGTACAAATTTGTGAAGTAATAATTCACTTCAGCTCATAATTGGTAATTGTAGGAAATTTCCAGTCCTAACTTCTTTTTCATAACATGTAGTAGATGTTCAGAGGTCCAGAGGAGAATCAGAAACAATTTTTGTTTCTGTGAGACCATGGTATGGCTTGTGAGTGGTGTTATGTAAGCACTATTAGTTTACAATTCCCTCTCTTTTTTAAAGAAAATTATTGAGCAGACAGTATCTCCATAACATAAATACAAGTTAATTTTCAGTACTTTGCTCGTTTGTTGAAAGTTAGAAGGCCAAAGTCGTAATTTGGTTTAATTTAGGGCCGGAATATATATGTTTTCAATTAGATGTGACATGTGGAGATGAAATCACTCCTTTTACAATCTTTATAATCTTTTTCCTGAAAATGCAGTTGACCTTCCTAATCCATGGCTGACTTTGATCGTTTGAATTTTTTTTGCTTTTTTCTTGATCATATAGCTGAAGGTGGATGTGAAATTGTTACTAAAAAATTTGGTTTTAATAAACTTCCCATTTTGAACATTACCAAATTTGTGGCCCAATTTCTTCGGGTTTGAATGTTTCTGATGAACAGTTGAATTTCCTTTGCTCACCTGCCCTATTCTTCCTCCGCTGACTGTATGTGTGCCAGATAAAGAAGAATAGTCAACATTTTAAATGGTTGGGAATGTCATCCTGACACTATACTTCTTTGCAGAAAAACTTGTTTTAACATGTCACTCATAATGTTGCCAGCTTACCCTTTCTCATCCTTTTCTTCCAGAGTTCAGGCGAAAGAATGCTGGAAGGAGGTCAGGATCATCAAAGGCAAAAGAAGCCAAAAAAAACAGTAAACAGAAAGACACAAGCATGGAAAATGGGAGTGAAAGCAACCAAAATGAGGATGAAAGCAATGAAGTTCGGGATGATGCTCCTGATAATGACTGAATGTGCGCCTATTTACCCTATCAGAGTGGTTATAAAGAAGAAAGAGACAGAGAGGACCTGTGTTGAATTTTTAATCCGTCATCAAGGGTTTTATCCGAAGTCTTCAGTTTTTGGTTTTCAAAGTATGCTATCATGGTAGACATTAAGTAGTTATATCATAGCTAAAGCTAGTTGTAGAGCCTTTGCATAGCCGTCGGGCATGGTTGTGTTTAGCCTTCGTAACTTTATGTGATCGATGCTTCCAAAATNCGTTAAGTAGGTATATCATAGCTAAAGCTAGTTGTAGAGCCTTTGCATAGCTGTCGGGCATGGTTGTGTTTAGCCTTCGTAACTTTATGTGATCGATGCTTCCAAAATTCATCCAAAGACTATATAAGATTGGCTCAGCAAAAACTTGTTCGAAATAGGCTCATAAGATAAATGAACTATGCTTGAATTTTATTTAAATCTGACTTATATTTCAGACTAATAAGCTTGAGCAAATTACTACTCAACTAGCCTTGTATTGGCTCATTCGATACAATAATCACAAGCTCCAACTTGGTTTGCCGTTACTTCAATTCGTTGGCAAGAACATGGAAGAGCTCAAAAATTAACATAAGACACTTGTCTGTCGTGGGTACAAAACAATACCAACAGGTCCATTCCACACAGCATAAAACCTCAAGACAAGACTCGAGAGCAATGAATGGAGTGATGAAGACTAAAGGTAACTGATCGGTTGCAGCTTTTTGAATATGCTAACATGGAAAGCCACAACAATGTTGATTCCAATGCTGGAAAAATGTGGAGTTTTACAAGGCAAAAGGAGTTCTTCAACAACAAAATTGGCAATAAAAAAATATCTATTACTCTGATCAAATGGAAAAAGTGAAAACAAGTATAATCACTAGTATGTCTCTCCTAAGCACAATCTACTCTCACTTGTATGAATGTCGAAACCCTACAAGTTGTTTTACAACAAAGCCAAATGTGTCTGTCTTGCACTTGACAATCTCAGCTATATCATTGGCACCAGGAGAGCTTCCACCTGGAAAATTGAGGTATAAACAACTTTTAACCCCTNCACTTGTATGAATGTCGAAACCCTACAAGTTGTTTTACAACAAAGCCAAATGTGTCTGTCTTGCACTTGCCAATCTCAGCTATATCATTGGCACCAGGAGAGCTTCCACCTGGAAAATTGAGGTATAAACAACTTTTAACCCCTACTGAAAAGTCCGTTTCAATGGCACACGGCTAAGTAGTTCATTTCTATGCTTGACCAATTTAAGTAACCCCTCGTGAATGTGTAAGTTGAACCTATTCTCTAACTTCAATAAATGATGGGATGTGGTATCCGTCTCTATTTCATGTATTCCAAAACACTCTGATTGATCTCCTCAAGGAATGAAACGAAACCCATGACGCTTGTGAAGCCACTTCCATCAACATCCTGTTCTTCAATCAGATAGTTCTCAAATGCTGTGGCATCATCTTGCCCTCCCCTGATAAATATGAGTTTTGGAGTGATGCTTCGCTCTTGCTTGAGTTTGTTTATGGTTGTCCTCAATAAGCCTATATAAGAAACATTTCCCTAAGCAAAGCAAATAATTCTTCCAAAACTTGAAAGGAAGCAGAAAAAAATGATGCAGACAGACTTACAGTCATGGGGTGGAGGGAAAGGAAGGGTAGGGTCAACTGTAGAAGAATAAAATACAATAAGAGCCGTGAATGCATCAAGGAAAAATATTGGACTGCCACTAGTTATCAGTGCAGCACGACTCAAAGAATGACGAGGGAACGCTTGTTTATCAGGAGTGGCAAATGATGTTAATAGCGGATATATAGCCCGGTGAAGAGAACTTGGCTCTAGAGCACTGCATCACGAAAAGCAAATTGTGCAATTAATCAGAGACATATAACAGAACAAGCTTTGAGGAGATACAAAAAAATGCCAAGGCAATTGCCTACAATACATGTAGGAAGTTTATTGACACAGTAGGGTAAATAATAGAGAAACATATACAAGATGAGCACTGAAAGAAGGCAAATCCGGCCAACCATGGAACAACTTCCATGATGGAAACATACTATTTTGATCTACTCACGAGTTGCGTAATCCATAGTCCAAGAGGTTCATCAACTTCAAGTGCATGGTGGTATAGTAAACTATCCTTACATGAAAGCAACCCGTGGGGTCTTAAAGAACATCTATTGCTATCAATCAGGGGAGAGCCGGAGAGCAATTTTTTGTCCCGTGGTGAAATTTCCATAACACCCCTACTTTCTCCCTATTTCAACCACCCATCTCTCCCTGTTCATAAACACCTCTAAACCACCATACATTTATCTTCCCTTGGTTTATTTTCCACCGTATATCTTTCCCAGATCAAAGAAAGTTCAGAGAAAATCAAAGGAAAAAGGAGTGAGAGGGAGATCCAGGAAAATAACAATTCCCCAACATAATTGTGTGTATTGGTTACCTGAATAGGCACTGAAGGTATATTCGGTAGTCAGGATGAACACCTTCTTCATGAAAGCGGAGAAGAGGATTTCGGAGCAAAGCAAAGACTAATCGAGGTAAAGGCTGCAGTTGTGGGCATTGTGAGAATGCGACATCAATATGAGAAGTCGTTGAACTTCCATGCCCATACTGAACAAGCTTACAAGCATCATTATACTGAGCCGTAAGGATTACAAGCCAATCATGTAATAACATCCTGCCCTCCCGAACTCCTTCCTCCAATGACGCTAATATGACCTGACGAGTAAAAGACAGATAAACAGACGCAGTGAAGTAACAAGAGGCACAATATATCCAAGCTTTGTGCTATTAAACATTTTTCTAAGCTATTACAACTAAAGGCAAATAATACTTTGATAATATTCCAGTAGATTATCCAAGTTCATTTCATAAATGACCACATTATCTGTGAATCAATCCATTCCTGTTGCTTGCTTATTTGACTTTGTTGATAATTCAACTATACCTACATCATCCTCATGATAATTTTGATTCTTCACTTCCTCCGCCTCTTAAAATATCAGTTCCATCAACTGAAACTGATCTGCATGGTTTTTCCAATTTGATCCTACTCTTATAAATGATGCCCCCCCCCCCCCCCCCAAAAAAAA